TTTTTTTCCTTAATATCTTGTATTTTCCCTGTATTTTTGTGGGAAAATCCACCTTTTGCCACACTGGATTTATTCCTCCACATTTCCTGGCAAAATTCCTATAACTCATTGATTTTTCCTTAATATCTTTGTTTTCCCTCTGTGTTTTTCTGACAAAATCCACCTTTTCCTACAACCCATTCATTCCTCCACATTTCCAGGGGGAAGGAGAAAAATCCCAAATGCTTCTGGGGCCACGTCCGAGCAAGAAACGGGAATTTCTCTCTCTCAGCCTGTGTTTTCCCAGCAATCCCTGGCTTTTTTTCCCCCTTGGAGATGCTGGAATTAAAGGGCCAGTGCCTCATCCTGTGCATCCCTCTTCTTTTACCCCTCACATTTTTTTTCCCCCCTTTTAATACTTTTCTGATTTTTTTTTCAGGTTGTTTTGCCACTTTTTTTATTTTTAACTTTTAAATTTGATTGATTGATTAATTAATTAATTAACTGACTGATTTTGAATCTCCAGCTGAGGCTCGGAAAACTGGACTTGAAAATCCTGGTTTTTTTCTGGCCGAGGGGGGAGATGTGTTCAAATCTTATTTGCATTAAAATCAAAGTTCTGAATGATCCTGAGGAACGGCTCCAGGTTTTCCAGAGGAAGCAGTGGCTGCCTCATCCCTGGAATTCTTCAGGATGGATTGGATGGGGCTTGGAGCGACCTGGGATAGTGGAAGGTGTCTCTTCCCATGGAATGAGATGATCCTTAAGGTCCCTTCACTCTCCTGAATCCCTCCAATATCACCACCCCCTTCCTCAAAACACCTTTCCCTGGATTCCTTTGCAACTTCCCTCGTCTCAAACAACGGGAAAACCGAGGCGGGAGCGGAGAAAACGGGATTTCACTTGGAATTTGGGCCAACTTGGGGTCTGGAACTTCACCCTGGAGGTTTAGGATATTCTCATGGGTCCCCCCTTTGTGTCTTCTCCCAGGTGGGAAGAGGAAAAGAAGGAAGATGGAGTCAAGTGGATGCAGTTGGAGCACAGGGGCCCCTACTTTGCCCCCCTTTACGAGCCCCTTCCCGAAGACGTTCGCTTTTATTACGCTGGTACGTCCGCCTCGGGATGGCACCTGGGGTTGTCTCTTCCCTGGAAAAACAGCTGGTGTCTTCTGCTGTATGGAAGAGGAATATCCCATGGGATAAAGCCTGCAGGCCTTGCTTGGAGCTGGAGGTGGAAGAAGTTCTGAGGTTATTGAGGAGTTGATCCCAGTGGTCGTTTTTCCCCTGAGGAACTGTTTTTTTCCTTGTTAAGGTGTGTTTTGGGGTTGAGTTTTAAGGATGAGTTGAAGCTCATCCTGGCTGGAAAACCAGGATTTTCCTGTCCCGTGGCCTCAGTGACTCGCCCCACAAAGTCTTGGAAGGCTTTGGTTGAGGTGCTCTGAGCTCCTGCTCGTGGCTCCTGGTGTCCCCAAGGTCACCAAAGATCACTCACAGCAACTCAGCATCACCGAGGGGCTGATCCAGGGCAGATCCAGAGCTCTGCTCTCCTTGTTTTCCTCCCGTTGCTGCTGCAGGGAGAATGTCTTCTCCCTGCTCTCAGCTTCATCCCTGAACTCATTTCTGGTGGATCCAGGTGAGGAGGGGCAACTTGGGGCTTGGCTAAAGGAGTGCTGGAGATGGGAGGGGACCACATTCCCTGGGGGTCTTAGTGCTCCTCAGCTCCATCCCTCGGCCTTCCTATGCCTTTTTTCCAGTAGGAAAAAGGCCAATTTTGGGGAATGAGGTGTCTGGAGACACCAGAGGGCACTGCTGGGACATCCATGGGGCTGTCAGAGACTTTTTGGATCTCTCAGGAGGATCCCTGGCAGGATTTGAACCTTCTCTGTGACCCCTGAAGTTGTTGGAGATCCATCCGTGTGCTGTGTGGATCGAGGCCGGTGGCTTTGGCCTGGGATCTTTGAGCTTGACTCATTTCCTTAAAAATTATCACCATTCCTGGATGGAAAAGTGTTTGTGGACCCAAGTAGGAGGAGACCATGGAAGGAACCACGTGGTTCCTGTGGGTTGTCGTGGGGCTACTCTGAGGCTGTGACCCCCCCATGGTCTGCAGTCCAGGAACCCCAAAACCCGGTGGTCCAGGTGGGATTGGACCATCCCCTGGAGCTCTGCAGGTTGCTTTTCCTCCAGCTTGCCTCGGAATTTCCAAGGAATTCTTAGGATGAACCAAGATGTTGGTTTCAGTGTGTTTCTCTGGGTGAAGAGCTCAGGAGAGGGTGGTGGCTTTGGCACCTCCAGGGAGTGATCCCAGACCCAGACAGCCCCCGAGAGAGGATCCCAGACCCGGAGAGCCCCTGAGAACCGATCCCAGACCCAGAGAACTGATCCCAGACCCAGAGAACCGATCCCAGACCCAGAGAACCGATCCCA